ATTGCTTCCATTGTTTACATCAGGTTCAATTGCTTCCATTGTTTACATCAGGTTCAATTGCTTCCATTGTTTACATCAGGTTCAATTGCTTCCATAGGCATTCATATGTTTACACCGGCGAGCTGTTTTGAATCTGTGAGAGAAGCACCGGGGTCAACCCATCTCCCCGATCTGCCCTCCCCTTCTCCCCTCGTCTCATCGCCGTTTCCTTTTTCCAGACCACTGTCCCGCAAAAGCGCTCAGAAAAAGTATACAACACCCGCCAAACTCAAGGCCCATCAACCCTTAAACGGAGAGCTAACAGCCGCTACAGGAACAGTCTAGAAATAGTCTAGGAACAGTGCGTCGTGCTTCAAAACAGTGGAGAAATTCCCAAGCGAGACCATTGAATAGTTGAAAATTGAGGGGTTTTTTCGAGAATCAGCCAGAACGGATCAACGGACGCCGATCTTTTCTCCTGGGCCGCTCGCTCTTGAAATGACGAAGAGGACGATGAACAGTTCGAGAGTTAAGGGCAAACATTGGAAAAGGCAAGTGAACAGAATAGCTACAGGGCCCGGCCTTTGAAAGGTTGTGTGAAAAGACTGTAAACCCATAAAACAAAGCATTGTTAAAAGGGCATTCTTGGAAGCCCATATACTAAAGGTTGGGCCTAAAAATATTGAATAGTTTAGAAACAGTAAAATTCTTTTTGAAAAAAGTGCATGAAAATACACAAAACCCAGTCATAAAAAAAGATACTGTTGAGGGGTTTTTTTGGAAGTTAACAGGACTGAGCTTTTTAAATTTTTGTTTGAACGATGCCTCGTAATTTTGTGTAAAAAGACCAAAATCCCAGTGCAAAAGGCCAATCTCAAAGGGGAATTTTGGATAGGCCAAAACCCTTATTTGCACCCTCCATTTATTTCTTTTTCACGGTCAACACCTTCCAAAATTTTTCTTTTTTATTCACACCCTTAACTTTTCAAAACTCATAAAAAACCTAACATTTTAACGCGCCGTCACGGTACCGTTACAAAATGTACTACGTGGCACTCAAAAATCGACGTGACCACTATGTGCCGTTAGTAATCCAACGTGGATGCTTTTTTTTTTTTTTTATGATGTGGCTTATTTAAATTAAAAAAAAAATTTAGAACAGGAGCTCTGGGTTCCCGAACCTAGAGCTGGGTTCCTTGTGAGGAACCTGATCTGGGTTCGG